AAAAAAAAAAAAAAAAAAAAAGGAAGGAATTTATTTGTGAGGAAGAAATATGGAAAACATTTGTGCTCCTCCTGTTTATGGAAGTAGAGGAACTCTACTCCCCAGCAGGAACCTTTGCCTCCCCAAAAAAGTCTTTCTGCCCGTGAGTTGTTGACACTACCCTAGGGCCAGCTATGTCATCCTGCTGCCCTTCATGCCTGGAGTTAAAAGGAAACTGGAGTATAGTAAACAAAAACTAAAGGTTAAGGTTGCAGAATCAGAACTAAGTCTAGGAGTGCTTAGCTGGGAAGAAACTGGTGGGAGTTGGAGATAGTGTCTCTGTTTACAGGGGATTTTACACAAAAGAGACAAGGTATTCCTTACTTAAACTAAGGTCATATTTTTAAAGTGGATTTCAAACTCAGGGACTGCGGTATAATGAAAAATTCCTTGGCAGAGGATGGAGGAGGCTGCGACCTCTCATTTTCCACTACAACAGTAACCCATGGTCATTGCAGACATTTTGGAAAATATGGAATCGTAGAATGAAGACAAATCAACCAAAACTCTATCATGCAAAGACTTCCACTGTTAACATTTCTTTCCATTCAGGATCTTTTTGCCTTTGCAGAAAGTGTCTTTTTAAATAGTTATTATAATACTGTATTTATATGATTTTTGTATTCTGCTTTTTTCCCTTAATGTTATACATAAGCATTTTCCGAGCAAAGTTTCTAAGGCAGCTTGCTCCTTGCCGAGAGAATGGCAGATGTGTTGTAGTGTACACTTGCAGTCAAGAAGTTCATCTCTGAGAAGGAAATGAGGGGCTGAGGTCCAGGGCATGGTGCAGTGCACACTTGGCACTTCTGTCTGTCCTCAGGCTGTTCACCCCTCAGGACCTCTGCCTCTGACCAGACCCCTTCCCCTCTCAGTTTGCTGGCCATGCACGCTGGAACTGAAGTTCTTGGGACCCCAGGTCTCCTTGGATGTTGCGGCCTGCTAGGTGAGGTCATGGTAAAGACTCAGACCTGAACCCAGGAGCTCTCTGCCCAGAGCTGTGCCCAGGCCTCTCTGGGTGCAGCCGTCACAGCAGTGGACTCAGTCCCCATGGCCACTGCCCCCAAACTGATTTCATATGAATGTGCATGTGTGTATGTGTGCGCGTGTGCATGTGCACATGTGTGCACATTTTGTGTGTTGTGTTGTAAAATACATATAATGAAAGTTACCATTTTAACCTTTTGAAAGTGGGCAATTCAATGATTTTAATATTCACCACTATTTAATTTTAAACGTTTTCATCACCCCAAAAGGAAAAGTTTTTATTACTCCAAAAGGAAACCTCATACCCATTGGCAGTCACTCACTCCTCATTCTCCTCTTCCCCCTGCTCCTGGTCACTGCTAATCCGCTCTCTGTCTCAATGGATTTGCCAGTTGTGCACATTTCATATAAATGGAATCACACAACATATGGCCTTTTGATCCTGGTTCCTTTCACTTAGCGTATCTTTGGGTTTTATCCATGTTGTATGGATATTGGCATACTGTTTCAAGTATGAATGCATGTATTGGCATTCATTTTCATGGCTAATAATATTCCATAGCCTGTGTATGCCACATTTTGTTTATCCATCCATCCATTGATGAACACTGGGGTTGTTTCTACCTTTTCACTTTTGTGAATAGCACTGTTATAAATATTTGTGTACAAGGTTTCGTTTGGGTTCCTGTTTTCAATTATTTGGGGGTGCCTATGTGAATTGCTGCTGGCTCATATGGTAATTTGATGCTTAACCTGCAGGGATCCCCAGGCTGATTTTGTCCCTGCGGAATGTGTTAAGGGAGCCTTGCTTTCCTCGGGCAGTGAATGAACCTGTGAAGCCCTTTCCGTCCCAGTGGCCCCAAGTTCATCTCAGAAACCCTCTCCGAAAAGTGCTATCCTTTCTACATCCATGGCCAGCCTTACCTGCTGGTCAGGCCAAGCCTTCATCTCTTCCTTTCCGAATGTGAGCGATGTCTGCCTGCTGCCAATGCTCCTTCTCCTCCTAAGCTAAGCTCCTGGGGTCCTCACCCCTATCTGAGCTAAAGCTTTTGTAGCAAAGAGATTAGCGAAGAGACAAACCCAGGAGCCATGGTCCAGCTCTCACCCTCCCAGGTCTGCAGAGGCCTTGTGGACTGCAGAGGTTTTTGCTAAGACTCTGACTCTTTTAATGACCTGGAACAGTTCCTCTGGGCCAGCCCTTTGGGGACAGGGAGGGGGGGCATGCGTCAGCCTGTTTCCTGGTGTCTTTGGATGTGTCTTGTCTCAGAGTAGGACATGATTTGATCCTGTGAGTGGAAGTGGAAATTTTAAGCTGTAATTGGAGTTTGGGATTTTCAAAAATAGAAAGAGATAAGAAAGAGGCTGGGCTTCAGCTGTCATCCGCTGTCCTCAGCTGGTGTTTTCCACATTGAAAACCTCCCCAATTTTCCTTCTTTTCCTTTCAATTACATGATGATACTTGAAAGAAGTACCAAGTTGGGGTTTTTTTTAAACATAAGCTTATTTTTTTTTCACTCTCCTTATCCACATAGTTCTTTAGTAGGAAAAAAAGATTTTAAGAAACTCCAATCTCTGCAAAGCATTTGGTAAATTTATATAAATCATAGCTTACATATTCTTCAAAGCCTTCTCACATGCCTTTCTCTCTTGTTTCCTCACAAAAGCCCAGTTAGAGAGGCAGGATAGTTTTGCAAATAATAGTTTGTCTTTCTTTTATAGATGAAGAAAAAGAATCCCCAGAACTGGCTGATTTACTTAAGGTCACACATATTCTAGATGGCAGAATCAGAATGGGAACCCAGGTGTCCTGTCAACCCAGGTGTCCTTGTCTTTGCCCCAAAATGTCACCTCTTTGAGGACTCCTCCCTGTGTTCCCCGCCTCTCCCTTCAGGTCAGGTTAGAGGCCCCCAGGCTGTGTGTCTATGCCCACATCAGAACCATCTACTCACCTGTCCTCACCTTCCCTAGACTGTGAGGTCTTACTCATCCTTGTACCTGCCACGATTCCTAAACCACAGTAGGTGCTCAGGAGTGCTGGTTGATCACAGGAGTGGACGTCTCTAGGAGCTTTTGATTGCCCATTCACAATATGGTTTTAATTACATGACTCAGTGGAGAAATGAGAGGCCTGATAGCAGGGGTGATAGATGGCCATGGGCTGATGCATTCAGCCTCTTGTAGTCGCTCCTGGTGAGGGTTGGATAGGAGTCGGGTGGAGAGTAGTGGCTTGAATTTGCTTGGAGGAGGGGGGAGGAGGGAGTGTGGTCCAGGTTCTGCAAGGGTTCCACCAGCTGTCTGCTTGAGCCTAAGCATGGACCTTGCTTTAAAGATACATCCTGCTGGGGCATGCACACAGAGAGCTCAGTGTGCCTTGGTGCTTTAATTGAGAGTCCCTCCATCACCCAGCCTACAGGAGGAGAAGCCATCTTGTTCAGCTGTAATTGACCCACCTGCTTGCTGGCAGCACTGACACAGTGTCCTTAGAGGGAGCTAATAGATGCCCTCTTTTAGCCAGCACAGATTGAACACCTGCTGCCCACCAGGCTTTGGGCCGGGGCTGAGGGATACAAAAGCGGAGCAGGTACTGACCTCCCAGGGCACTCAGAGAGGTCGTGTCCTGGCTTTGGTGACTCATTTAAAAAGGCTCTTGCAGGCCTATTCAAGGTCATAGCTTTATGTGTACTTAGTCCCAAATATCCCTCAGTACCTATCTGGCCTCCAAGACTCTCAGCCAAGCAGATGCCACAACTGAGCTATGACAAGAATAATAGAAGGACAGAAACCCTCAGAGCTTATAGGAGGAGTGTACCAGAGCCTGTTGCAGCCCTGGAGGCAGAGCCCATGCATGGCTTCTGGGGAAGTCTGTGACCAAAGTAAGCAACCAGCATTTTATTTTCCATTGCAGTTTTTAAATACTGGGGAAAGATTTTTTTTTAAGTCAAAGCAAAACAGGATTGCAATCTGGGGGTCCCCAAGACTACCCTCAAGTTTAATAATTTGCTACAAGGACTGAGGACTCAGAAAAACTGTTAGAATCATGGTTATGGCTTAACTATAGTGAAAGGATACAGATTAAAACCAGCAATGGGTAAAGGTGCACAGGAAGAGTCCAGGCACAAGCTTCCAGTTGTCCTTTCCCAGTAGGTTGTAGATACCACTTACTTCTCCTAGCAAGGTTGTGAGGCAACATCACAGAGTATTGCCAAAGGGGAAAGCTCCCCCAAGCCTTGATATCCAGGGTTTTTACTGGGGGTCAGTAAATAGACATGGCTGACTACCTCATGGTCTCCATGCCTTTCCAGAGGTCAAGTTGACTTGGTACCAGATGGCCCAAGGTCTTCACTATAAACCACATTGTTAGCATAGATTATCTGGTGTAACCCACAGCCCCAAGTAAACAAAGACACTCTTCTAGGCAGGACATTCCAAGGGGTTAGAGGTTACCTCCCAGGAGCTGGGTAAGGGCCAAACGTATCTTTGGGCATGATTAATTCTTTATTGCATAAGAGTCACAGAAGGACCTAGTACAGCTGCAGAGGCCCCAAAGCTCAAAGCAAAGGCAAAATCAAGACTTTGGCAGACATACAGAAGATATCTCTGAACTTCTGAGGTCATTTCAGAATTCAAGGAACAATTGTGTGTGTATTTGTGTGTGCATGTACAGGTATTTGTGTGGATGGTGGTGTGTGTGCCTGCAGTGTGTATCCATATGGATCCTGTGGACATATCCACAGACACACAATGACAGTGGCCCAAGAGCCCCAGAGGAACTGTGGCAGCTGGGCAGGTGCAGTGCTGACTGTGAATGAACCATCTGTGACATCCCAGAGGTAGAAGTAATGCATTGAAAATGAGCATTTCTTTCCATGTGGGCCAATTGGTTTTCAGAGGCACCTTGTTACTGTCAGAATGAGTCACATGTGGGAGGCTGAGGGCCAGATTAAGTCTGTGAACTTAAAATCGGGCACTCAGTGAATCTAGAGTTTAAAATAAGAAGACAACCTCATTTGGGGGAAAAATTGAACCAGGAAATTAAATGGCTTCAAGGAGAAACAGAGGTTCCTGCTTGTGCTGGCCAAGGGGTTGTTGGTGCAGAGGATTGGAAAAGCAGTCCTGCCTGATTCCTGGGGACCTGCTGGTTTTGATGGGCTGTCTGATTCCCATTTAGCTGTCCAAAAGTTTCGGTGTTCACAGCTCGTTGACACCTCTCTGAGCAATGTGGGGAGTTTTCCTCACTGCACATCGGGTACAGGGCTACTCACCCAGAAATGAGAATTTTGAAAAATACATATACAGTGGCTTGATGGCTCCAAGAAGCTGGTGACTTAGGCTTGCATATTTTGAAAATGTTTCCCACTATATGATTTTGATGCTATAGATGGGGTGGCCTGAGGAACGTAGCAAGTAATGAGGCTGGAAAGCTAGAGACGGGCCTGTTCTTGATGGTCTGGGATGCTATGCTAAGGAGTTTGTACTTATCTTAGAGGCAGTTAAAGTTTTTAGCAGCTGAGTGGCAGAGTCAGATTTGCAAATCAGAAAGACAACTTTGGCAGCCATATGTGGAATAAAAGGGGAAGAGCAGGAGATAGAGTGGGGTTGGGTTTAGGAGTCCACTGTAGTACTCCAGGCTTGAGCGGATGGAGGAGAAGCAGGCTGAACTCAAAGAGCAGTTTTGGAGTTAGAACCAGCAGGATTTGGTCTAGTTGATGGGTTGGGTGAAGCTTCTTCATTTAGTGCTGCGGGGAGGGGAGACAGGTGATGATTCTGTTAACAGAAATAGGGGAACTTAAGGAGGGAAGCATGTTTGGGGAGAAGACAATGAAGCCAACCTTTGAAGGGTGGGTGGAATTCACATGGAGGTGGCCAATGGCATATTGTATCTGAGTCTGGAAGCTAAGAGGAAAGTCAGGGCCTGGTACAAATTTGTGACTATTCATCTGCAGGGGACAATTAAAGTTAGGACTCTGGGCGATGCTGTTCATCAACTTATCCATGAACCACAGGCCTAGAATGAAGCATCATGGGTGTACGGTTTTGCTTCTTGGGGCTGCAGTCTTGGGGTCACCTTCCCAGCTGTATTAGTCCATTCTCACACTGCTATAAAGAAATACCGGAGACTGGGTAATTTATAAAAGAAATGAGGTTTAATTGGCTCATGGTTCCATAAGCTGTACAGGAAGCATGATGCTGGCATCTGTTCAGCTTTGGGGGAGACCTCAGGAAACTTACAATCGTGGCAGAAGGTGAAGGGGGAGCAGGCTGGTCACATGGCCAGAGCAGGAGCAACAGAGCAAATGAGTGGGGAGGTGCCACACACTTCTAAACAACCAGATCTCACAAGAACACACCTCTATCACCAGAACAGCACCAAGAGGATGGTGCTAAACCATTGATGAGAAATCCACCGCCATGATCCAGTCACCTCCCACCAGGCCCCACATCCAACACTGGGGACTGCAGTTTAACATGAGATTTGACTGGGGACGCAGATCCAAACTGTATCACCACCTGACTATGTCCTCTGCTTTCTAGAGCCCCATTCATGGTGAAGGCCTTCTGGAGCCCCTTCTTCTCGATTTCTCCTTTCTGGGTGTGCAATACTCCCCGGCCAGCCTCCATCATGTCCACCTTTCTTAGGTGGCCACTGTGGCAGGGAGGTCCCAGCAGTCAAGGAAAACCTCTTAGCATTTTAGGCATCAGAACTGCAGAGGTCCCAGTGCCCAGTGCCCAGTGCCCAGTGCCCCCTTTTATAGATGGAAAAATTAAGATCCAGAGATGAAAGGACTCTATGAAAGCCACAAAACTCATCTCTGGCACTACCCTCCCGAGGCCATCCCAAGCTCCCTGACTCCCAGCTGGGCTCCTCTCTATAAGCTGAGTGCGGGTCTGTTGTCTTACAGGACTACACGCGGGTGGTGTGCCCTGTGATCGATATCATTAACCTGGACACCTTCACCTACATCGAGTCTGCCTCGGAGCTCAGAGGGGGTGAGTCGGGCTGACACCTCCTCCCCAGTAAGGATTTTCTTTTCCTCCCAGTCACTGCTTTTAAGTGGAGAGAGTGAAGGAAAAGCTTAGTGGCTTGTCGAGAAAGCTCAGCCTGCAACCTGCACTATAATTACCTTAGCTTGGCCCTTACCACCAGGACTGTGGATGGAAGGGCTAGGGAGTGGGCAGCATGCTCCCAGCACCCAGAGCTCCAGGTCTAAGACTGGGCTCACCTCAGGGCTCAAGAACGTGATGGGAGCAAGGATTTCCCAGCTACATGCGGCCTGCATTGTTCTGATGCCAGCAGCGAGTACCACCCTCTCCTAGAGACATGTGATCATTCTGTTAACAGGAGTAGGGACCTTAGGGAGGGGAGCAGGTTTGGGGAGACCCACCCCAGCTCTCCACACAGGGCCCACTGTTGCCCCCACTGCAAGAATGACTTTTAGGTGGCTCAGGTAGGCTAGGAGCCTCTCGCCAACCTCCTGCTCACACCTTCCTGAGACTCAGTGCCGAGGCCCACATTCCATGACTATCCATCTTGTCATCCTCAGGCCCCACCCCTAGCTCTTTATCCTCTGCCCTTTGTTTCTAACCCTACACAGCAGGGAAGGCTCAGAGAGGCAGTAGTGGGTAAAGGAAGAGCAGGAAGCTGTGAACGGAGCTTTGACTGCCATGCTGCTGGTCAGCCTAAGGAAACCTGTAATCCAGGGACTGGCCTCTTTGAGACCTGCCTCTCCAGGACCTGGGTACATTCATGACCTTCTGGAGAAGGTGCAGAATGAGCAAGTGCTTTTGAGAGACCAAAACAAGTGGGTTGGTGCTGTGTTGTAGGGTTTGACTGGAGCCTCCACTTCCAGTGGGAGCAGCTCTCCCCAGAGCAGAAGGCTCGGCGCCTGGACCCCACAGAGCCCATCAGGTAAGTGGGAAGGGTCTGTGCGGGGGTGGGTGGACCATCGCCACTGAATCCTGTCGAGTGTAGGGAGGTGCTCAATATCAGATGTCAAAGCATCAAGCAGACAAAGGGAGCCCTTTGCCAGGCCATCTCCACTTTTGCCTTTATTTTAGGAGGTTTCTATCCTCTTGGGGACTTCTCGTTAAGGGGATGGGGGCTACCAGAGGCCGGTGCTGAGGTGTGCTGCCCACTTTCACACATGCCGTGATGTCCTTGTGCCTCCTGCTAATGTCGGAGCCCAACATTGGTTGAATGGTCCCATTGGGCCTCTAATGAGGGGAAAGATGGTCCTTTAGGGTCAAGAGCAAAGTCCCAGGGTCTTGGATGTCAGGATTCAGCCTAGGAAGATTGAGTCAGCCGCTGTTATAAGTGGAGGGCAATATGAAGGCCACTGTGACGTGTTCATAAGCACAGCTGCCCTGTTCTCTGCAGGAACATGACAGTGGCTTGAACTCTGGAAGCTTTGCTGGGCTGTGGATGGCTTTGTCCTGACCCACATTCTCTTTTCCAGGCCCCACTGTGACCCACAGCATAGGGTGGCTAGGGCTTTGCGTGGGGCCCGGGGGCCAGCTGAGGGCTTGAGGTAGAATAGAGCAATTGGCCACTACACAGGGGAGCCTGTGGTCTCAGCAAGTGGCCACCACACAGGGGAGCCTGTGGTCTCAGCATCAAGAGTGATGGTCTTGGTGTCCTACCTACTGGACAGTAAACCCGTCCCAGGCCTCATGGGAATACTTAAGCTAAAACAAACCTGCCTCAGGCGGAGCAGCAGGAGAATAAGAAGTGCAGGGATAGAAACAGAGGCCACTGGATTTCTCAGTCCAGATTAGGGATGCCCAGGACTAACCAAAGGCATCTCTGTGTCTCTGGTGTTGGCACATAGTAAATATTTAATCAGTTTTGGTGCATTGGCTTAAGTCAAATTGAGGACAAAGGGACTAGCAAGAGCCAAAAGTGGGAATATGAATGGTGACCTTCCAGATGGGGGTGGGGACTCTGAGAATTCTACTGTGGGGCAGGACCTTGGTCTCATCTACGTGACGGACCCTCCTTGCTCCTCCAGGCTTCTCTATTTGGACAGATACCAAGAAGGAGATTGGAGCCAGATGGCACCCAGGACAAAGTCCTTCATGTCTAAAGGGAGAGGGACGAGGAGCTTCTTCTTATGCTGAGCATCACACAGCTCATATCAGCTCCTCACCAGGGGCAGTGCATGGTGTGGGCGTGGGAAGAGCAAAGGGTCAAGGTGATGCTGTGCAGCTCCCATGGGGTTTTCCTGCCTCTATCCCAGGGGTGTCGTTCTCAGGACAGGTTCTCTTCTTGTGGGACAGCTCTGCTCATCAGAGGGCACTTGTTTCCCAGGATGAAGCTAGTTCTCAAGGAACAGCAGGATGTGGCAGCATCAGGAGACCTGGGCTTCTGACCAGCTGTCCATCAATTCCTTGTTTGATATGGAAGAAAACTCCCTTCACCCTCTGGATCCACTGAACGGGGGCCAGGTCTTTGATGGCTTGCCCACCTACCCAGCCACTGATTATTAGCTTGGAATCTGTTCCCCTCCTGCCTTCCTTGGTAGCCCCTTTTCAGGCATTTCTCTGGCATCTCTCCAGGGAAGGTTGGGAACTGGGGCCAAGAAAAGGAAAAAAAATATGAGGGTGTGTGAGTTTGCTAGGGCTGCTGTAACAGCATACCACACACGGGGCTCCTTAAACACCTGAAATGTATCATCCCACAGTTCTGGAGGAGAGGTCTGAGATCAGGTGTCCACAGGGTTGCTTCCTTCTAAGGGCTGTTCTAAGCCTCTCTCCTTGGCCAATAGATGGCCGTGTCTTCCCTGTATCTCTTCACATCCTCTTCCTTCTGTGTGTCTGTCTCTGAGTCCAAATTTCCCCTTTATATAAGGACACCAGTTATATTGGGCTCATCACCTCATTTTAACTTGATTACCTCTGTAAAGACCTTGTCTCCAATTACAGTCACATTCTAAGATACTGGGAGTTAGGACTCCAGCATATCTTTTTAAGAAGGAATTCAACCCATAACAGAGGCATAAAGAGGAAAGAAAAGGAGAGATAGCCCAGTTTCAGGAAGCAGATGTGCTGCTACCAAGTGCTGCCTCAGCCCTTCTCCTCTGCATAGTCGGTAGCCCACTGTCCCTTCTCCCAGTAACAGAGGTCCCAAGAGAGCCCTGCTGTGCAGATCCTGTGGAAGAGGCTGGGGGAAGCTCCCCGGGTCATCGGAATAGCTGGGGTCCGGAGTGAGCCCTGTGTCCCCATGGGAGGTATGCTAATGAGTGAATTTGCTGGTCTGCAAGGTCAGGAGATTGATAATCACAGGGAAAAACCCTGGAGCTTGTTCTCATTTTAGGTAACTGGAAAATGTACTGGCCCTTCTCGAGAGGAACAGAAATGGGAAGGAAATGAGAGTTTTCTTCCCCTAGTGGGGTTTTCTTTCCCCAAATGGGAAATGGGTATTTCAGACTCAAGGGGCCGAAGAGTTTGAGAGTGATCCCCCCACTAGAACTGATCCCCTCTCTTTTTCTCCCAAATGCACAGGACTCCTATCATAGCTGGAGGGCTCTTCGTGATCGACAAAGCTTGGTTTGATTACCTGGGGAAATATGATATGGACATGGACATCTGGGGTGGGGAGAACTTTGGTGAGTCCCTGCCTCTGCATCCTGACCTATGCTGTTCTATACACCCTGGGGGCTGGGGCGGGGACCTCTGTGGTTTTGGATCCAGCACCAAACTGTCAGAGAGTCACACGTGCTTGGGATGAGGTCTTGGGAGATGGTGAGTTACTCTTTTGGGGTAAAGCCAGTAGGGTGCCAAAGGAATAGTTGTTGGAGGGCGTTGATAACAAGGGAATCTCTCCATGGGGCTGCATGGATGTTGAGGACCGGGAAACACGCTCTGACAGACTGTTAGGGGAAAGCTGAGATGCAACAGCCAGGAAGACCAAGGAAGAATACCAAGTGTGAGGGGTCAAGTACCGGCTTGAGCTAGGAGTGATACACTTGAAAATTTGGAGTTGGAAGGAGCTTGAGGAGAAAGAATGAGGAACAGGAACAACAGTGACATCCATTAACATCCATTAAAGTCTGTTGGCTTCTTTGATTGCAGCACTCAGTTTTGGATAATGAGGAGGGTCTGGGGATATTTCGCCCTTATCTTATAGTGGGAGAGGAAGGGGTGAGGAAGGGGGCTGGGTTACAGGAGCCAAAACTGTACAAACAGATGGTTGAGTCCGGTCATGGTGGTATAGAGCTGAGGCTTGTAGCCACAGGAGAAACAGCACAGTCAGAAAGACCCATTCCATCTAGCTAGTGATACTTAATACCTCATTTCCCTTGGTATTAAAGGTGTGACTTCAGGATACTACCTCTACTTCTTGGGGTTGTTAAAAGCCCTTGAAGTAAGTGTGTAAAATCTTGACACCATGCAGGCATAATACATGTCAGTTCCTTCCAGCAGGTGAGACCTAGGAGATCACTAGGAGAGAAGCTGCAGGAGGGCAGGGGTTGGGGTCCATTTTGTTCCTGGCTGTCTCCAGTGTTTAGCATAGTGGCTGCCAGGTAGGAGGCCCTCTGTAACGATTTGTTGAATGAACACATCATGGTAGAGTAAAAGGAAGCATCCCAAAGTGTCGGGACCGTCCCCTGTCTGGGCACGGTGGCACATGTCTGGCACGGGCTCTCTGAGCAGGGGTGCAGGCCAAGAGAATGATCCATGGGGCACATCCCAACATTTAGCAGTAATCCATGCATTGTCCGCTGCCATTGTTTTCTCCTGTTTCTGCCTCCAGGGTGTTTTATGGCTTTCTCCCTCAGTCACTGAGAGTTATTTCCTGGAAATTTATGGCTTCTGGCCTGACCCACAGCATCTGTTCTCCCAAACTGGGCAGTGTAGTGAAATGCATCAGAAAAGTCAGTCTCCTGCCATACAGGGTCCAGACTGGATGCCCAGCAAACAAAACAGAAAAACTCCCCAACACCCGCACAAAATCGAATCCCTTCCCTGGGACCCAGCCCACGAAGGCCTTCTGGAGTGTGATAGGGTGCTGTCGGTGTGGGGTTCGAGGCTGGGTCTGCCTGCACCAGCCCAGGAGAACTTGGAGCAGGTGGACCTTTGGTGTTCTCAGTGGGGCAGGGATTTCTCTCTTATGGGGCGGAGCCCATTTTTATGTCTTGACGACCTCAGTATTTCTTATAGTTAGTGATTTGTTCCAGCCTTTCTCTCAGCCATCAGATGAATCTTCTCTACAGCATTTCTTATAGACCGCAGCCATCCAATCTCTGCCGAAATGCTTCTTATAGTGATGCATTCACTACTTCACAGTTTGGCATATTCTGTTGTAGATAAATTTTTTGTTGAACTATTAGAGAATTCTTCTAAGTCAAAGCCCAGCTGCCCCATCTTCTGTCTGTCGGGGCTTGTTCTGCCCTCTTGAACTGCACAAAGTGAGTATGATTCTTCTTCCACATGGAAGTTCTATTTGGATTCAGGCAGCATGAATTTCAAGGATGGCACAGTGTGGTCCATTTTGGTATCGGTAGCAATACCTTTCCTTATAGCAATGTTAACGCACATCTGCTCAAATCAAGTAGCAATCTCATCTAGCTGGCTTCCGACTCTTTTGGCATCAACAAGGGCTGATTGGAATAGAGAAGTTGGAAAGGGTGCGGGGAGGTGTGGGAGAGACATTTACAATCCATCACAAAATTTTTAAACCACAAAAAAAGCACTGCCAACAGCTATCACAGGAAACACTTCGTTTTTCCCCACCCCAACATTCCATTATGTTATAGCCAGCTAACAGCACTTTGAAAGCCATTTCTGGATTTTGTTTTTGGCATTTTATATGCCAGAAAATGCAGTGCTTTTCCAGTGGTGGCTGTATCACATGGACAGTGTTACATCAGCAGGTGGGGTTAACAAGGCACCTGAATACGTGAAGGGGGAATTTGAAAGAGGGTCTCCGTGAAGATCAGGGATTTGGATGGGGTGTGCGGGTGATACTCCAGCTGCGAAGGGGAGGTGGCACTAAGGGGTGAAGAAAGGAGTCCCGGCTCCAGAGTGTGGCAGGAGGGGCCTCCTACCCACCAAGTCACCAAGTCCTGCAAATCAGCTGACCTCAGCATCACTCACATCCATCGCTTTCTCTCCATCTGCCCCAATACTCTCCCCAGTGGTCCTCCATCTCTATTGTACTATGGAATCTGAGCTCTCACACCCCGGCCAAAGTGCTTGTTTTGAAATGTAAACCTCCCCGCCCCTTCCTGCCTGGCATTCTCAGTGGCTCCCTCTTGTGCTAAGGGGACACCCACGCTCCTCAGCTGGATCCCTCCCTCCCATGACCTCGCCTGCCTCTCCAGCCTCATCAGCCTGCTCCTGCCTCAGCCTTAGATCCAGAGGTACCAACAGAACCTCCCACCCTTCCCAGAGTGAGCCCAACCCGCTATTAGGACCTAGCTTCCCTTTTCTACCAAACTCACTCTGCTGCAGAAACTGACCTTCTGCAGGACTCAGCCCTGGGGCCACCTCCTCTAGAACCAGGAAGCTTTCCCTGCCCTACCTCTGGCCCACCCTCCCTCACTGTGCACCCTTCAGCACCGGGTTCTCTTCTCCGTCACTGCACAGAGCCCTTGTATGTGTTTGTCTCTTTCTTCGTCTGTGCCTGCCGCCCAGCCTTCTACCAAACCTGGGGCTCCTTACAGGCAAGATCATCCACCTAACTTCTCATTCTTGAGCCAGCAATGGTAGAAACTGCTCACTAAATGTGGGTGCAAAAAACCAGAGACTGAATGGGAAGGGGCTTCAAGATGGGAAGGGCAATATATATGAGGCTCCTTTTAAAATAAGTTTCACTGGATTAAATGGAACCCTACAGAGACATGTTTAAGGATTCCCTTTAAACACAATAGCAGCTGGTAGAGACCTCTTTCCTTTCTAAGTAATAGAATTTCTGTGTGTTCCAGACATGTTTGCGTATGTCGTGTTGTCTTTATTTCACAGCACAAAGATGCATGAGATGATTGGGACAGGCCCTGGCCAGAGTGACTGTGACCTACTCAATAGCATGTTGCCCCCGCCCTACCCCGTCTTGGTTTTCATGAGTTAGAAGCAGCCACTGATGGATTGGCTGCCGTGGCCATGTGAAAGCCGTGTCTCACACACTCACATGCCCTGACCTCAGTGCCACCATTTCCAAAGTATTTCTAAGGTGAGCTCAATAGTTTTGATCATTACATGTGCATTTCAGCCTATGAGCAGATGTTAGGGAAATGTGGCTTTTAGATTTTTTTTTTTTTCAGAAGTTGATTTGCATTAAAATTGGATGCTTAAACTGCAATTTACATAACACAGTGTACATGTAATGTATCTACTTTGAGCTGCATCCTACTTTTAGCTTTTGGTCTTTAGAGATAAAAGGAATCTGTTAGAGAGAGAATACGTGCGTACGTGTGTGTGTGTGTGTGTGTGTGTGTGTGTGTATACGTGCACAAGGAATCTGTTGCCCTAGTGTAAAGTCTGTGTGTGTGTGTGTGTAGGGGTGTGTGTATGTGTGTGTAGGGGTGTGTGTGTGTAGGTATGTAAGCGGTACATATTTCCAAAAAGGAGCCCTTGGCACATGTATGAAGGGCAAATATTGGATTCCTGAATTTAGAATGGGGGATTTCCAAAGCACAGCAGGCACAAAAGACTGCTGAGAAGAGAGGGTGAGTTGGGGCCCAGAGAGGAACTACCACCACCTGCTGTCCCAAAATGTAGTCAGGGACACCAGGCTATGTCAGGCTCGGCTCTCCTGAGTGTGTGAGTATGTGTGTGGTGGGGAGTGGGTGGGTGGGTGAGTGTTATGGGAAGAATGTGGGCTGTGGAACTAGGTAGGCCTCAGTTTAAATCCTATAAACATCATTAAGCATTCGTAGGCCTGAGTTTAAATCCTGTAACCATTGCTAGGCACCCTTGGGAAAGTTACTTCACCTCACTGAGCCTGTTTTTAAGTCTTTAAAGTGGAGATTGATCCCTATAATGGGGACAACAGCTGCCTCCAAAGATATCCACACCCTAATCCCTGGAACCTGTCAGGATGTTACCTTCCCAGATGTGTTTGGGGTCATTAATCAGTGACCTGAAGGTAGGAGATTATCCTGGCGTTTCTGAGTGGACCCAATTTAAACACTTGAGCCCTTCAAAGCAGAGAACTTTCTGAGGCTGGAGGCAGAAGAGAAGTAGCAGATGAAACTAGAGAGATGTGATGCCCAAGAGGGACCAACCACAGCTGCTGGAGGGGGCAACATGGAAGTAGCCGAGAGAGACCCCAAGGGTGACAGCCACGTGGAAAAGGGAACCTCAGTCCTGCAACCCCAAGGAAAACTGAGTTCTGCAAACAACCTGAATGAGCTTGAAAGTGGATTCACCTTCAGAGCCTTCAGAAAGAAGCCATCCTGTTGACACCTTGATTTCAGCCTGAGACCCTAAGCAGAGGGCTCTGCCAAACCCACCCACTAAGTCTGTGGGGATTTGTTATTGCAGCAGTGGAAAATGGTAGTAGGCCCCACGTCACAGGGCTGTTGCGAAGATTAACTAGTTAATGAAAGTGCCTGTGCTCCACCAGGGTGAGCTGCCTTCTCTTTCAGAGAGCAAGGTTTGTTAA